TATTCTGTAAAATGACCAAGACTACATCCAGGACAAATGCAATCTTACTAGATTGAATGAGCATGTTCCTCCCTAGTGACAAGTTCCAGACAGGATTTTGAACCCAGAACCTGATGAACAGCAGAAAGATAATCCCAACCAGAGCAACCTTATTGAGGAAAGATGAAAGCTTTTACGGGTTAGCCGATGCCCTCTCGTTGTTATCCATCTTGGCATCACCCAGATGTCAGAGTAGTGGCAGCGAGACTTTGGCTAATGTCCCTAGGTGTATTGTGAGAACCAAGCTTCCCATGAGCCCTTTGGACATCCCAGAGGAGGTCACGGTAAAGCTCTGCTGTTCCAATGACATGCATACATACACACACCAGTCATCACGACACCATCAGGCAGCTGGCCTCTACTTCCGCATATTTCCCTCACACAGTCTTCACTGTGCAGCCTGAGTTCTAGCCCAAGCAACCCGCCAACCAGTGTGTGCCCAGGCTCTGTGGGGTCAAGATCCACCCAACGGCTGGCCAGCTGCACCTCCAAGCTTCAGGCAACTCCAAGAGCCCAGCCAAGATGAGTCCTAATTTCCCACCTGACCTTGCCCTTGGTCTTTGAAAGCTCTTTGAATTTTAGTTTAAAGGAGTCATTATAGCAAGAATATGCTATAAAGTAGTAGAAGAAAAGGCAAGAAAAAAAGTGCATGAGGGGTTGTGCCAATGTAGAGCAATAGATAGTTTTAACTTTCTGAGATATGGATGTGGGAGGTAGAGCAGAGAGACCTTGGACATCTCCTAGCACTTCCCTTAAAGTTGCAGACTCTCTACCCTGTGCTAGGGACCATACAGAGACTTACCCCTGAGGCTTTTAGTAGCTAGGGTAACACAGATGAATAATTAATAGGAAGTTATTTAAGGCAACAAGGTAATATAACTTTCACCCACCAAACAAATACTACTAACGACTTTCTAGCTAAGCTACCGTGAACCAGACTTTGAAGTTCTCTGCGCAACACTCTTCCCATCCACCAAGCAGGAGTCGTGGGAACAGCCCCTCTGCTCTAGGGGTAGTGGGAGCAGTACCACAGCATGGGATCTGGGCATTCTAGTTACTACTAATAGCGCATGAAGTATGAGTATTCTGTTCTGTTTTCAAATTTTTCTCAAGTGCACTTCTGTAATTTTTATATTGAAAAATGTAATTTGCTCTTGTTTCCAACAAGTGCCTCGTGTTGTAAATGAGTGTAGCATCGTAAATGAGAACACAAGAAGTAGCAGCTCAACCCACGTGGAGAAACACAGATGTCAGAGAAGGGTCACCAAGAGAGGAGCTCCATGTGTGAGCCGACTTCTGAAGACCAGGACTCAGGGACAAGAAAGGGGAATTCACAACAAATGGAACATCAGGCAGACTCAGAATCTTACTAATTGAAAGGCAGAGGGAGACAAAAGGCCATCCAGTGCTCCTTTCCACCCCATGCAGATATCCTCTGACGCCTACCTTGCAGGTTTTTTAAAAAAGATTTATTTATTTGAAAGGTTGAGTAACAGAGAGAGAAAGAGAAAAATTTTGATCTTCCATCTGCTAGTTCACTCTCCAAATGGACACAAAGGCCAGAGCTGGCCTAATCTGAAGCCAGGAGCCAAGAGTTTCTTTCAGGTCTGCCATGTGGGTGCAGGGGCCCAAGCACTTGGGCCATCTTCTAGTGCTTTCCCAGGCCATAGCAGAGAGCTGGATTGGAATTGGAAGAGCCAGGACTCGAACTGGCACCCATATAGGATGCTGGCACTGCAGGCAATGGCTTAACCTGCTATGCCACAGCACCGGCCTCTCTACTGCTTCTTAAATGCATTCAGAGAGAAGGTACACCACACTTTAGGTACCAACCCATTCCACTGTTAGAATAGGTTTTCTGGGTTTGAGTCCCAGCTCTGTCCCTGATTTCAGCTACTTGCTAACGTGCACCCTGGGAGGTAGCAGGTGACAGACAGCTCAAGTGGTTGACTCCATCATGTACATGGGAGACGTGGATTGAATTCCAGGATCCCAGCCACAACTTGATTCAACCCAAGTCACTGAAGGCACTGGGGGCATGAACCAGCAGATGGGAGTACACTCTCTCTCTCAAATAAAAAATACTTTAAAAAATATGAAGTGTTTCCATACAAGGATACTCACTCACTATTTTACTCCCAGACATGAAATCATAAACTCCAAGCAACACGCACACACCAGCAAACAGTCACTCCAGTGACATCTATTAAGGCCATGGAATCTTAGTTAACTGCACAGCTGTGGCACTTGCACTTAGCTTTGAGATAGCTTACAAACATTCCTTACTCCACAGTTTTTAGAAGACTGGGGAGCGCTTCAGTAAGAAGTTATATATGATTTCCATGGAAAGAGAAACAGTTAAAACTATGAAAGTAGTGCCAGTTTTACTTTTTATAATAGTATCATTTGTTCTTAAGAGATAGGGAACAGATGCAACACATGACAAATGTCATGATAATGCTCAGTACTATATAAAGGAGAGACAATAGAAAAATGGCCAACTGTGTGGCCTGAGAACTCAACAAGAGAATAGGAGAAATCCATTTAGCAACTCAAAGGCTAAGCCTAGTAGGCAGCTTTACCGTAAGCCCGTAGGTCTAAGGTCTATTGGAGGATCAACAACTCAGTAAATACAACATTTGCAGGTGCAGACGACTCCACAGCTACTGTAACCTGTCTCCATAACTCTGCAGTAGAGTTAAGACTGAACTACCTGATAAGGCAAGCACTACACATCTGTCCAGAAAAGATGGATTAGTCAGTTAATGGCTTGAGAATTCTGGATAAAACATTGTCAAGTTGCATCCCTCCTTCACAAAATTTACATTGAAAATTTTCAACAGGCCGGTGCTGTGGCTCACTAGGCTAATCCTCCACCTTGCGGCGCCGGCACACCGGGTTCTAGTCCCGGTCAGGGCGCCGGATTCTGTCCCGGTTGTCCCCTTCCAGGCCAGCTCTCTGCTGTGGCCAGGGAGTGCAGTGGAGGATGGCCCAAGTGCTTGGGCCCTGCACCCCATGGGAGACCAGGAGAAGTACCTGGCTCCTGCCATCAGATCAGCGTGGTGCGCCAGCTGTAGCGCGCCGGCTGCAGCGGCCATTGGAGGGTGAACCAACGGCAAAAGGAAGACCTTTCTCTCTGTCTCTCTCTCTCTCTCACTGTCCACTCTGCCTGTCAAAAACAAAATTAAAAAAAAAATTTTTTCAACCAAGAATAAGCTTAGAAAAAAATATTTTCAATCCATGTTACAAGAATCTGTTTCCACTATACATTAATTTCCCCACAAATCATTAAAAACACCAATTCATTCGAAAAATTAGGCAAAATATAGGAACAGTTTCCAGAAAATATTATAGCTCTTAATCACATGAAAACATTGAAACATTAATAAGAGAAATGTAAATTAACATCAGTTCACATGTTTTCACCTAGCAAAGTGGCAGAGTTCAGAAAGTTTGATGACATTTCCATCACTGATGGTGTCATAAATTGGTAAAGGTTTACTCAGCACTGTCCATCAAAATTACAAGCGCACCATCTTTGATTTTTTTAAAATACTTATTTATTTGAAAGGCAGAGTTACAGAAAGAGGTAGAGCCAGAGAGAGGTCTTCTATCAGCTAGTGATGGCCACAATAGCTGGAATTGGGCCGATCTGAAACCAAGCATTTTTCCAGGTCTCCCACGCAGGTGCAGGGGCCCAAGGGCTTGGGCCATCTTTTACTACTTTCCCAGGTCATAGCAAAGAGGTGGATTGGAAGTGGCACAGCCGGGACTTGAACCGGTGCCCATATGGGATACCAGAATTGCAGTGGGCAGCTTCACCTGCTATGCCAGAGTACAGCCCCCGTCTTTGACCCACTTATTCCACCTCTAACAATTTATCCTTCACACATCTCAAACCCAAGTAATGTATACGATGTACAAGGTTATTTACTGCTCCATTTGTTTATAAAAACAAAGTTAGGAAACAACCTGAGTGTCTATCACTATCAGGCTGCTAAGTGGCTATTTTCAAAATGAGGCAAATACTTATGGCAAGTACGAAGACATCTCTGAGATATATGGTTACTGGAGAAGGTATGTAGCATTCCACGAATTGAATTATAGAGAGCCATACAGACGATGGACGGAGGCAGGCAGGCTGTGTGTGTGTGTGTGTGTGTGTGTGCAGCATTTCCTGAAGGATCTCCAAATGGGAGTAACACGAGCTGCTTCCTTCAAGGCACACCTGACAGCTGGAGGTAGACGGCAGAACCCGGATCAACTTTCCACTATAATGTGCTTTCTGATACATTCAAACATGTATTATCTATCCAAAAGAAATTACATCAAAAAACCAGTTCCTGGCTATCACCCAGACCCTGAGCTCCTTCGGTGTTACCACTGCAACTCCACCTTGTTCGCGTCTCCAGCATTAGCACAGTGCCTTGGGCACGGAAAGGGGATTTTTTTTTTTTTTTAGAAGTCATGTTTTACAGGATGAAGATGACGCTTCCCTTGAACTCTGGCCACCTTTAAATGGGGTCCGATACAGGAGGGCACAGGCCCCTAGAAACGTTCACCTGCCATCTTCAGATTCTCCCTTGAAGTAGGCCTTCCCCCTTGCAGGGCAGGGGAGAAGAGACAGAAGCTGAAACTGACACGAAGTACCTGCCTGGACTCCTGAGAGGTGTACCTCAGCACTCACTTGACAAATGCCAAGACGCGAGTGCAGGGGAAGGAAGTCACTCCAGATCGCACAGGACCTAAGCAAACAGTTGCCCCGAGAGGGAAGGAACCGGTGAGGAAGTCGGCTGCGGGTGTCCGCTGCTGTCTGCGGTGGCCACTCCGAGGGCAGAGGCTGCAGTCTCAGGGATTCCACACAGAGACGCAGGCATGCACACGCCACCGCGGACTGCGTTCAGCTCACCCACCACACACAGCCCGAGCACCCCCGAAGGCCAAGGTTGACCAACATTTTTATTAGCAATAATCTCCCCCGCCTTCTGGGTATCTGGAGATTTAAGACCACATAATCATCCTCCACGTCAGAGGGGTGGGGGAGGGGAAGAGAGAGGAAACAGCCTAAGAGGCTCCAAATCCCTCTTAACCCTTGCTTCTTCCCTTATCAGCAAGATTAGAGCAGCCCACAGCGACCTGGCGGCTGTGTCCAGACCCGCAGGCCCGGGGCCCCAGGAGGGGTGGCTCCCAGGACAACGCCCGGGCCCCTAGGTGTGCTGGTGTCTGTGTGACGGTACAGGGTGTGATCGGCGCTCCCCTTGGCCGTGACCCCCCGGAGGACAAAGCAAGCCCCCCCCTCCACACACCATGCTGAGGCAGAGCACCGAGAGGCGGCGGTCTTGGAGCTACAAGCCCTGGAACGCCTGGGAGAGTGAGGACGCCAACGCCAGCGACGGCGGCCAGCACCGCAGGAGCATCTGCTCCGTGGGCGCCCGTTCTGGCTCGCAGGCCAGCATCCCACCGTGGATCGAGGGCAATTACAACTACTACATCGAGGAGGATGAGGACGGCGCGGAGGAGGAGGACTGGAAGGAGGACCTGGCCGAGGAGGCCCAGCAGGCGGAGGAAGCCGCCACCGTCCAGCCCGAGGAGCACAGCGACACTCCCGCCCAGATGTCCACGCTGAACGTGAACGTGGGCGGCCACAGCTACCAGCTGGACTACTGCGAGCTGGCCAACTACCCCAAGACACGCCTGGGCCGCCTGGCCACCTCCACCAGCCGCAGCCGCCAGCTGGGCTTGTGCGACGACTACGAGGCCCAGAGCGATGAATACTTCTTCGACCGCGACCCGGCCGTCTTCCAGCTCATCTACAACTTCTACGTGTCCGGGGTGCTGCTGGTGCGTGACGAGCTGTGCCCGCGCAGCTTCCTGGAGGAGCTGGGCTACTGGGGCGTGCGGCTCAAGTACACGCCGCGCTGCTGCCGCATCTGCTTCGAGGAGCGGCGCGACGAGCTCAGCGAGCAGCTCAAGATCCAGCGCGAGCTGCGCGCCCAGGCGCAGGCCGAGGAGGCCGAGGAGCTCTTCCGGGACATGCGCTTCTACGGGCCGCAGCGGCAGCGCCTCTGGAACCTCATGGAGAAGCCCTTCTCGTCCGTGGCCGCCAAGGTCATGGGCGTGGCCTCCAACCTCTTCGTGCTCATCTCGGTCGTGGCGCTGGCGCTCAACACGGTGGAGGAGATGCAGCACCAGCCAGAGCAGGGCACGGGCGGCGGCGACCCGCGGCCCATCCTGGAGCACGTGGAGATGCTGTGCGTGGCCTTCTTCACGCTCGAGTACCTGCTGCGCCTCGTGTCCACGCCCGACCTGCGGCGCTTCGCGCGCAGCGCCCTCAACCTGGTGGATCTGGTGGCCATCCTGCCGCTCTACCTGCAGCTGCTGCTTGAGTGCTTCACGGGGGAGGACCAGGGCCACGGCAAGGGCTCGCCGCGGGAGCACGACCTCGAGACGGTGGGCCGCGTGGGCAAGGTGGGCCAGGTGCTGCGCATCATGCGTCTCATGCGTATCTTCCGCATCCTCAAGCTGGCCCGCCACTCCACCGGCCTGCGCGCCTTCGGCTTCACCCTGCGCCAGTGCTACCAGCAGGTGGGCTGCCTGATGCTCTTCATCACCATGGGCATCTTCGCCTTCTCCGCCGCCGTCTACTCGGTGGAGCACGACGTGCCCGGCACCAACTTCACCAGCATCCTGCACGCCTGGTGGTGGGCGGCGGTGAGTTCCTCCAGCCTTGAACTCTTTCCTTCTCTACCCCAGCCCAGCAGAAACGTTTCCTGCTTCTCCCTGATGACTGGCCTTTATCATCTCAGCGTTCTCCCCGCAGTGATGGCATGGAGAGAGGGACCGTACCATCACCCTCTCCATCCTGTCGCTGCCTCCAACCCAGAAAACAAAGTTGAATGTTAAAGGGTTGGGGAAACAACCTCCCTAAGAGGCGAACAACCAAATTTGTATGGGTCCTTTCAACATCCTAGTCTGGATTTAGTCTAAAAAATAATGACAGGCAGGTGTTAAGAAATATTCATTGTTCATGGATGCCAGATGCATTCCCATCATTATTGTTTTTTACCATCTATTGAATAGCTAATTCCTAAATGGCTTAGAAAGCTGACTCACTTAAGCATCTCAACCCTGTGAGGGGGTCATCACCATTTTTTTTTAAATAGAAGGTCATGTAGGTCATGTAGGAAGTGGCTTCATTTTTTAAAAGAAACTAGAGATTTATAAAAAGAAGGAGGTAAGAACTGGCTGAACACTGCCAACTAACTGAAATCCACCGACTCTGGCTGTGGGTAAATCTGAACATGGAAAGAAGCATCTAAAACTAAACCAACTTCTTTCGGACCAACTCTTATTGCCCCACTTTACAGCTAGAGAAACTGAGGTACAGAGTTGGAATACAGACAGAGCTAGAGACCGCAGAGCCATGACTGAAATCTAAGCTGGTCCAAATGCATGCCCTCTCCACGCCCAGCACTTTTCTCTTAGCCTTAGGTTTGGTTTTATTTGTTTTCTGCATGCCTGGTTTGTTTAGTTAGTTACTTTTTCCATTGTCTTCTTTAGCACTTGCCTTTTATGGTAATTTATGACATCTACTCAACTACCTTCATTCCTCCTGTGCTAGATAAATCCTACAAAATGATTGTTGGTCAAACCTTTTCAGATCAGATGGTATAAATATATATATATATACACACACACACACACACATAGCAAAGAACTGGATGTATTGTTTCTGTAGTTTTCTAAAGTATATTGCAAATGCCTTTATAGACAGTGAGCAAATAGAACCAGTTTTCCATGTTAGAAGTAGTATGTCAGAACATACACTCCGTGTGATCTTCTGAGCTGAACCAACCCCACCTACTACTAATGGCACAGTGAAGCATGAGGAAAGATTAGGAGCACCTGACTGTAGCTCCAGATCTGCAGGAATTAACTGTGACCTTGAAGAGCTGACTGCATCATTCCCTGTTCTCAATTTCCACATCTCTGCAAAGAGAGGTTGGACCTACAGGCCTCTACAATTCAGGGAATCCGCATTCCCTTGAAAGTGGAGAGCTCATAGGCACACCAGGATTTGTGAGCTTCCTTGCATGATGCTGTGTTGTTAGACTCTTCCCAATGAGCTAGCCAAACCCTATTCCTCTGATCGTATTCCAGGCGACGAAAGGTCATCCCCATAGCAGATAAACCATGTGTACAGATGGGGCTCACGGAAGATAATTTGTCCCTAGCAAATGACATTTATATTGGAGGTAACTAAAGCAGGCAAGCAAAAGAGCAAATCCACACAGTGATGATATAAAACCAGGTTTTGGGGTTGAATTTCCATTCATCTAAATTTCCAAAAGACTAGGTTACATGGGCATGGGACCTAGTGGACTCTTTTATACTAGTTTTAATCAATAATACTTTATATTAATACACAAAAGGTTAAAAATATTTTGGCAAGAATTATGTTACTACCACTAGATTTTTGCTGTAAAATAATTTCCAAAAGTGAATGACCATTGACCCCATTTAACTCTCAGTCTATTGAATGTAGAATAAAGTCTCAGAATTTCAAATTATTCCCTTTGTATGTTAACTGAAATAACTGTTCTCAAGATCAGTGTTTTACAAATTTTATAACAAATTTCAGACTACCAGTTTGCATCCAGAATAAATTTTACCAATTATTGCTTTCAACAATGTGAATTATCTTCTGGGGCCATTATCTTTATCAGGCACTATTTTCACAGGCCAAATTTCATATTTCAACATTTCCATTTACCAACCTCACCCCTTCCCAATCACCTTCATCCATTTTTTCTGATGATCATTTATATCAGTAAAATCATTATGAATTAGATAAAGACTGACAACATGTATTTGTGTCTAAACTAGCCTATAAACACAATAGGAGCAATTCTCCTTTAGGATTTTAGGATTGCTCTGTTCCCCAGTGTTCATATATAATTAATCCACTTATACTCTATCTCTTCAATTACACTACATAAGGTCCATATTCTCAATGAACAAAGAGAAAAGAATATCATCAAAATGCAGACAGGATATCTTGGTTCTTTTATGTAGATGTCAAGTGAAAAGATGCAGTATTTCAGAAACAGTTCCTACATAATTCACAAAAATCCATCTTATTCACTCAGTAAAAAGTTCCTGAGCATCTATAATGTGCTGAGTAGTGTTCTAAGTATTAGGGCTACAGTGTGATAAATTAAAAAGTCAAGTTCGTCTCTTTTGGAGATTACATTCTAAGTGGAGAGAGACAAATAATAAATACTCTCAGATACTGGTGTGTTTGCACAATGTAATAGGGTAGAGAGTGATTTGAGCAGTGGAATCTATCTTTGATGGGACAGTCAATAGTTAGAAAAACTGTCTTAAAGAAGACATTCAGATTAAATTTTAACTATAAGAAGAAACTTATCTAAATTCCTACAACTACAACTAAACAGACACCAGAAATGGACTCCTAAAAGTAACTCTAACCTAGAGGTCTAAAAATATTTTATTGATAATATATCTCATAGTTTCAAAAATTCAAGCACATACTCATGATAAATGTGTATTAAGGTAATTTGTGTTATTTATTGCCACATCACTGGTGCATCACAAACCACCTCACAGCTCAGTGGCTTAAGTCATCAAGCATTTATTTAGTTCATGAATTTTAAAGGCAGCAATTTAGTCTGGTTTCATCTAGACAGTTCCTTTTATTTCGACTGGTCTCATTCACCCACTGTCTGATGGTCAGCTTACTGACAGCTGGGATGAAAGGTGACATTGGACTCCATCTCTGCCATCCCCCAACAGGAATGTGTGCTGGCTGTAGCGGAGAGCGAGAGATAAAGTGAGCCCAAATCTTCCAAGTACTGTTATCAATTTGTGTCCTGTCCTTTGCTCTACCCGTCAACCCAAGTGAGTCACATGGCCAAACTCAGAGTCAAGGAGCAGGACAGATTACCTCAGCCACAGTAGAAAACCACTGCAAAGTTATAGAGCAAAGAACTTGGGTACAGGAGGATAACTCAGTCCAACAATACAATCATGCTACTGCAGTAATGGATTCCTATTCAAATGCATCATGCTCATAAAATACACCTACAGTTTGAAAACTTAAAGATGATTCAAAGGAAAGCATGATTGACCTTCTCTTCTGCTGTCCCAGAGGTATATTCACTTGTCAACTACTCACCCCACATTAGAGACAGATTGTCTAATCCATTGTCTTGTGCATTCTTATACATTCAGACAACTCCAAATCTGACTTGCTTTCAGTAATTTTGCCTGTCTCTAAGCCAAGTATCCTGCAATCTTTCTCTGTAATTCCACTCAGAGTTTTGGGAGGAGTAGAGTAATTTTCATTATTCTAAAGTCTACAGCTGCAAAGCAAATCCCTCATGGATGCTTACGTCTGCCAACACTCATTCATTAGGATCTAACATAGACTCATCTTACGTGTCTGTCTGATGAAAGTTATTTGTGAGCCCTGATGTAATAAGGGACATGTGTAACATGCTAGCCTGCAGTAAGTCTGCCATAAACACAGGCAACCGTATCGGACTGGTTGCTAGTGTTGAGCACATGGAAGCAATAAGCTTTGCTTCCAGACTCACTTTTCGGGGAAAATAAAACAAAAGTGACTGCATGCCTTCTGGGAAAAGGGATAAACTGTGAAACATACACAAGGGTCAACTGCTCTCATCTGGGACAGCTTCTGAGTAACCAGAAAAACTGGTCCATTCCTGGAGCAGTTGCAGCTACTCTAAGGCTCTCACATTGCTTGGCAGTGGGAGATGCACAGCACAGCTCAACAAGAACAATCAGCTCTATGATAAAGCTGTCATCATTGGCCTCCAGTGTAGGTATGTTTGAACTAGAAAAGAGCTATTGGAATTTCAACACATTGTTTCTTTCTGAGCTTTCCAGAGCTAGTTAAAACTATGAAAATCAAACAAGGAACTAGGCATGAGCCCATTCCTTCCACAACTAACAAAAACTCTTCAAAAAGAAAATGTATCTCCCGCTGAAGCATCAGGTAGTTGTGCCCCGCTGACCTTGCTCCCATCCATCTCTCTGAAGTATATCATTTACAAGAGCGCTACATTGTATTCAGTGATTGACTGGTGTGAGACACATTTGGAAGGTGAATGAGATTACAGTCAGGAAAACAACACAAGGTGGGTGTTTCAGAAAGAAAGTTTATGACATAGGGAAATAGGTATGTAGCTTTAGGAGGTTGTAAGAACAAAAAACAGAAACTGAGATAATCCAGAGATAGGCAACTGCAAGGCTTAGCCATTGGCGGCAGAATTGGGAGATCAAAGAGAAGACAGTAGTGGTTCTGGAACCTGCCAGGACACAGGTGGAGCAGCCAGTAGGTTGATGTTGTAGGGACTCCTAAGATAGTGTAGTGAGGTTGCAAGCAGGAGTGCTGACAAAGGTCTGAGCTTTAACTATCTGCTGTTTTTTTTTTCTTTTTTTTTATCTTTTATTTAATGAATATAAATTTCCAAAGTACGACTCATGGGTTACAATGGCTTCCCCCACATACCGTCCCTCCCACCAACAACCGTCCCCTTTCCCACTCCCTCTCCCCTTCCATTCACATCAAGATTCATTTTCGATTCTCTTAATATACAGAAGATCAGCTTAGTATACCTTAAGTAAGGATTTCAACAGTTTGCTCCCACACAGAAACATAAAGT